CCACCACCCAACACCACCACCACCCCAACACCACCCCACCACCACCCACCACCCACCACCCACCACCCACCCACCACCACCACCACCCACCACCACCCCACCACCCAACACCACCACCACCCAACACCACCCACCACCACCCACCACCCACCACCACCACCACCCACCACCACCACCACCCACCACCACCCACCACCCACACACCCCACCACCACCACCACAACACCACCACCACCACCACCCACCACCACCCACCACCCACCACCACCACCACCCACCACCACCCACCACCCACCACCACCCCCACCACCACCACCCACCACCACCAACACCACCACCACCACCCAACACCACCAACACCCAACACCACCACCACCACCCAACACCAACACCCAACACCCAACACCACCACCACCACCCAACACCACCACCACCCACCACCACCCAACACCCAACACCAACACCACCCACCACCACCACCACCACCCAACACCACCACCACCACCCACCACCCAACACCACCACCCACCACCCACCACCACCACCACCACCCAACACCCAACACCACCACCACCACCCACCACCACCACCCACCACCACCACCCAACACCCAGCACCACCCACCACCCAACACCACCACCCACCACCACCACCCAACACCACCCACCAACCAACACCCAACACCACCACCACCACCACCCAACACCACCACCACCCAACCACCACCACCACCACCACCCAACACCCAACACCACCCAACACCACCACCCACCACCACCACCCAACACCACCCACCACCCAACACCCAACACCACCACCACCACCACCCAACACCACCACCACCCAACACCACCACCACCACCCAACACCCAACACCACCACCACCACCCAACACCACCCACCACCCAACACCCAACACCACCACCCACCACCACCCAACACCCACCACCACCACCCACCACCACCACCCAACACCCAACACCACCACCCACCACCACCACCACCACCGCCCCCACCCAACACCACCCAACACCCAACACCACCCAACACCCAACACCACCACCCCACCACCACCACCACCACCACCCCCCCCACCCAACACCACCCAACACCCACACCACCCACCACCACCACACCACACCACCACCCCACCCACCACCACCCCTCCCACCCAACACCACCACCACCACCACCCACCACCACCACCCAACACCCAACACCACCACCACCCAACACCACCCACCACCCAACACACCCAACACCACCACCACCCAACACCCACCACCACCACCCACCACCACCACCCAACACCACCACCACCACCACCACCCAACACCACCCACCACCCAACACCACCACCACCACCACCCAACACCACCACCCACCACCACCACCAACACCACCCACCACCACCACCACCACCCAACACCACCCACCACCACCCAACACCACCCCCCACCACCACCACCAACACCACCCACCACCACCACCACCACAAGACGCTGCTCTTCAGCCAAAGCTTATAGCGGCTTATGTGATAAGTTAAGTTTCTCTTCATTCTGAACCAAAACCTTTGCGCGGCGCAGACGGACACTTTGTATTGATCTGAGAGTTGTGCGTCTCGTGGATCTGCAAAGTGCAGAGAAACCTTGAGTCTGCGGCTTGAGCTCAGCATATGTCCTGCTCCATCTATTCCTCGTTATTGACAAATCCTAATTACATCTGATGCTTTAATTACATGTGATGCAGGGAAAGCAACTTCCACAACTTTCATTAATTATCCTTTCTCAGATTAGGCTGCGGTGGCTCCGGGGCTGGAGCTAGTTACAACTTATCTCAAAGTGCACTGCTTTAAACTCCAAAAAGGATAGAAAATATCTTTAAAAATGCTCAAATTCAGCAAGAAGTGTCTTAAAGTGACACATTCTGACTGAGCCTTAAAGATAGATGATAGAAACAGTGGGACAGAGCAAAATGATCTTATTATAAAAAAGATACAGAAAAGTCTCCTTTGGAATTATAAAATAAAGCAACAGAATAAAAACATTTATTCTTAATTAAGTGTCTTTGTCCTGTTGAGAATCTGGTTTTAACAGAATGTTTCAGATTCAGATCAAAACACTTGATTCAAGAATTTATCACCTCCATATTTCATATTTTTCACAGTACAGGAGGTTCACACCAGAACTACTGTATTTACATGTTTATAGACGGATAGAAACACTGGGCATTGGTCTAAAACTAGTAAACACTTTATACAGGAAACAATACAATACAGGACAATAATAATAATAATAATAATGATAATAATAATGATAATGATTATAATAATGATAATGATTATAATGATGATAATAATAATAATAATAATGATAATGATAATGATAATAATAATAATAATAATAATAATAATAATAATAATAATAATAATAAAAATGATGATGATGATTATAATGATAATAATAATAATAGATTGTATTGTACCTTAAATTTCCACTAAACCTCAAAGACCATTAGAACACCATTATGTCTTTGCCAATAACCAGGTGGGATGCCACATAGTGCACTAAACACCTGGTCACTAAATGGACACCATTGTGACTGTGCAGGACCAAGAGGTTTTCATGCAAAACTGGTTCAGGTTTTACTTCAAAGACGTCTCACAAATGGTTTCGAAACGTCACGAGAAGTTTGAAATTCCCGCGTTTTCCTCGAGTCAGTTCCACAGCAGCCTGCCCTGGGACTACAGGTGGAAATTAGCATCTCTGCTATAACCTGGTACATGCATCTCTCCTTTTGTGTTAATGCTTAACCTCTACACCAGGGGTGCCCAAACCTTTTGCTTCCAAGGGCCAAAGTAAAAATTTGCCAGTGGGCCGCGGGCCAAATACACCAATATTACGCATGAAACACAAATAAATGTAGATTTGATCAAGTTCTTTTAAATGCATTAATTACTGTCTATCAGTGCAAATCACAGCTCAATGAATGAAATCAACACAGTCTCAGTGAAGTGGAGGCTCCTGGGAAATATGCAGGTTTGAGGAGACTACAGTACGGAAAGATTCCGGCCGGGTAATCAGGGTCCAGAGGAGGGAGATTTTCTGTCATGGCTTATTTTCTTCTCTTCCTGCTCTCCTCGAGGTCAGACGTGTCTCTCCTGCTCTGCTTGCCCTGACTGTCTTTTTTCCTAGACTTCTGCCTGTATACAACTTGAAAAAATGATGGAATTAATCAACTGGTCCCTCAACGCAATTGATACTATTTTTTCATCACGTAAAGGCGGTTCTGGAGATGCCGTTTGCCCGGATGGTACGGCGGCTGCTGGGTACGTTTTTGACAACTGGCAGAAGTGGCACCCGTTTGTCTGTCGGGACTGTCCATCGAGGACATTGAGGATATATACATTTTTGGATTTATGGTAGCAGGGTTCCTCCTGATTGGATTTGGAGTTGGCTTGATCTACCGCAAAGTTGGAGGGCTGTCCACTCAGAAGATTTACGAGCGGCTGCGGAAAACAAGGAGAGTTTCCGCGAGTTGGTCAGAGTCGTGGTCGAGGGCACAGTGGGGACACAGCGGGGGGTGAGTGGGATCGAACATTCCCTTAACGACCTGGGAGTGAGATCTTTGGATGGACTTAAACGCGTGGAAGGATTGATTGAAGGACTTGGGCCTCACGGTGGAACCTCGTACTGACGTGGTCAACTCCGGATAACGGTGAACGGAGGGTCCAGTTCCAGTATAATTTGGACATATTAGCTTTAGTTTACACTGCCTTTCATTGATCAGCTAAAAGTGCTTATTCAAATTTCCCACAAGGCATGTGTTGTTTTGTCTCCAATGTTTGCACCTGCGCTATCTTTGTCCTTCACATTCCACCACCACACACAGCCACTCAAGGCTGACACTGGACTCTTATCTATCTCAGACTCATAACCCAGAACACCAGTTACAGTCCCCCCCCCCCCCCTACATGTCTGCCTCCCTCTCTTTCAGTCTATGGTGGTCTTCCCCTCCACCTCCCCCACCCACACTCCCCTCTGACGCGCTGTATTGGACGAGGCGGGCCACAGAGTGATGACTTCCCTTTAAAAAGATCCGCATGTTTTTCCACATGTACCGTGTCTCTCCCCATGTTTGTTGAAATATATGTCTGTTTTGCTCTATGCTGTTGAATAACTGTTATTCTACTGTTTGTCGCATGGCGCCGTAAAAATGGCGCCGTGGCAAGAGCTCTGGTGTGTGTCGTCTTCTGGTGCACACCGGGGTAGTCTTGCACAGTTTTCCAATGTGGTTTTACTGCAAATGGCAAATAAATGAATCTGAATCTGAATCTTAAAGGTTAAAATCATATAATAAAACCTCTAAAAGAGAACAGAAACATACATTTTGTGTGCACCATGTGCACTTGTATATTGTAAATAGTAACTGTAACTCTATTTTAAATTTAAATTTATTCCTTAGAAGTGTTTTTTATTCTTTATTTTTATTATCTCTGTTGCACTGAGCCAAAGCAATTTCCAAGTCTATTTTCATATATTTATTTTGAACAAAAGTTTTTAACTACATTTGAATCATATTACTTTATCTTAGCTTTTATCAAAAAGGGGAGACATCACTGATCAATAGATCTGGTTTTAGCACACTTTTAAACAATACATTCTTGAACGCATCATAAAACTCAGCGTAAGTTCTGTCTGACATTCAATGATCGCGAGTGAGGACGGTGCTTACCGGCTTCTTTCATGGGGTTGTAGAAGGGTTTGTTTTGCACAGTATTTGTTGCTTCTACTTGCGTGGATCGTGCGCTGCGATCCCTGCTTGTCCTGCTTGAACTCACTCTGAAGTGTTTGTGTCCGTCCTTTTTAACACACCGGGTGGGTGCGGAATGTGCAGGTGAATAGTTCCACTCGCCAATTGCCTCCGGTGAGGAGGGGGAGTGGCAGTTCGGCAGCACAATCCTCTCAATTTGATAAAACATTAAATAGCTCCGAAAAATAATAATAGTAGGCTGAAAAAAAAGAACATAAAGGGGCCTTGCACCCAATTGTTTTGAAAGATGTGTTTGATTTTAAAAAACATTTTAGTGCAAGTTGATGTGAACCATGAGTGAGGAGTGTATCTCGATACAACAGTAAAGTACTGGACAGTCTCTGTTCAGAGGGCGTTTGTGCGCCTGCGCGACCTCAGACATGTCACTGTTTGTTCAGCGAGGCTCAGGGACGCAGATAGAAACTTATAGCAGAGGTGGGCAATGTTTGGCGGGCCAACTGAAATGGTCTGGCGGGCCAACTTTGGCCCGCGGGCCCCACTTTGGGCACCCCTGCTCTACACTGTCCCTGTTCAAATAAAGTACATACAATACAATTCAGGAATGAAACCGACTCCGTCCAATCCGCTGTGATTGTGTCGGTTTTGCACCGCCTTCTGTAATCCTCTTTTCATGCTTTGTTTGTCGGAAATCAATCCAATATAAAGCTTTGGGCGAGATCAAAACCACGAGAGCGTCTCAGAGATGGAAGACGGAAGTCAGAGTCTGGCACGAGTCAGAGTTTACGGCTTTTTTATTCAACAGTGTTTTGATGATTTTCATTTTCACAAAACATCTACGGCTGGTGCTATGACACTTGGGTGGCATCTCTGACTGCCACCCCCCTGACCCAGAAATGGATTAAAGGGTAGAACATGGATGGATGGATCTACAGCTCAGTTCTGCTCAATTACTTTATTTAATTAACCGGTTATATTTAAAGACACAAGTGCAAAGTGAAGATGAATGATGTTTTTGTATAATTAATTATGACACATTTTACTGTGTTTATAGTTTCCTTTAGACGTTCCAGACAATATTGTCAGGAACAAGGTCCTGAATGTTTGAGGAAGTTTCTGCTGCAGCACATTAACTGAAGTCTCATTTTCCTCAGTTTTTGTATTTCCTTTGAATTTCATTTGAATAATATCTGGGACATGAATCTTTACACATCGCAGAATCATATCATAATACTGTCTGTATCGCGATATGTCAAGAATCACAATAATATAGAATTGTGATAATAATAATAATAATGCATTGGTTTTATGCAGCGCTTTTTTGGACCCTCAAAGTGTCTTCACATCATTATTCTTTCTCTCCAAACACAGTGTTGATAAAGTTCTGTAGCCACAGCTGCCCTGGGGCACACTGACAGAAGCCCCTCACACACACACACCAGACTCAATCTAATGTGGCCCTATTACTGCAAGACAATTGAACCGTCACATTTTTGCCAGCTCCCACTCCTACTACACTACTCTCTGCGGTTGCCAGATAAAGCCGGTGGTTGCCAGATAAAGCCGCCCCTGTAGTCGCTGTGCTGTACGTCCCTGGGCGTGTCCATATGCCAGAGTGCGGCACTGGGAGTGGACAGTGGCGCTCACAGACTGCCAATCTGCAGATGCAGCCGCCGTCCTGCCTCATGCATATTAAAGCCACGCCACCTGCTCGCCGTACATCACACCCCGTATTCTCGGCCGCCGGAATTTTAATCAAGATCTCTGACAGGAAGCCACTCTCCGCACACTGCCACCTCTGAATCATCCACTTCCTCTCGCTCCGTCTCTGCGTTCCCACGGAGCAGAAGATGCTGCTGATCTTGTATTTCGTCCACAAACCATAGGAGTTCCCCGGGAGACGGAGACAGAGCGAGGAAGAAGAGGAGGAGGAGGCTACAGGAGAATACCAACAAGGCCGATCAGGCAGCAGCCATCTTGTGGCGGAAAATTACAAAAATGACCATCAAGACTTGTGCTGCGTTGTTAGAGCAAAGAACCCAAACATTTTACATTTGACCTTTTTTGTTTTTTATCATTTTCACAACATGATTTTAGAATATTCACTTATGGCACCAATGAAGGAACAGTCAGATGAATGTGGATTTATTTAAATAAGAAACATGCAGTATTTTTGTCCAATTAAAAATTTAAATAGACTGTTTACTTTGTCGTCTAGTGTTTTAGAATATGAAAACAGATATCTTTAAATGGATGGATAAACATTTAGAGTAAAACATTCTGTGCACTTGTAAACCCAGATGCTACCACTAGAGGGAGGGGTTGTCTAATATAGATATATATTTGTGTTTTTGTACCTCGCACACCCCGAGAGAGGCCAAATGTAGCATAAATATTTCTCTGTTGTTGTTGAAGTTAAGTTTTTCTATCTGTCTAAAAACTACCAGCTGCAAAAACAGAGACACATAACTTCTGAAGTGACTAACACCAAAGCACGGAGAGTCCTTCCGTTTCCTGGGCACCACCATCACCAGGACCTCAAGTGGGAGCCGACCATCAGCTCCTCATCAAGAAGGCCCAGCAGAGGATGTACTTCCTGCGGCAGCTCAGGAAAGCCAAGCTGCCTGCACAGATATTGACCTCCTCCATCACCTCCTCCATCACCTCCACCAGCACCTCCTCCATCACCTCCTCCATCACCTCCTCCACCACCTCCTCCATCACCTCCTCCATCACCTCCTCCATTACCTCCTCCATCACCTCCTCCACCACCTCCTCCATCACCTCCTCCATCACCGTGTGGTTTGGACTATTCCAACCACTCCCCTCAGGCAGGAGGCTGCGGTCCATCAGGACTAGAACCTCCCGCCACAAGAACAGTTTCTTCCCCTCTGCTGTTGGACTCTTGAACACTTCTTAACCTGTCCCCCGCCCTTTATAAAGTCACTTTACTGCCCATCATACGTCACTTTACTTCACTGTACTGCTGTCACCTTACAGTGTGTGCACCATGTGCACTTGGATATTGTATTTAGTAACTGTAACTCTATTTTAAATTTATTCTTTAGAAGTGTTTTTTATTCTTATTTTTATTATCTCTCTCCGACTGTTGCACTGAGCCAAAGCAAATCCAAGTCTGTGACTTCCTGTTACTTACGTGGCAATAAAAATTATTCTGATAATTCTGATTCTGATGAACTGCTGTGAAGGTTACGATGATATCAAACCCTTTATTATCGTGGCTGGATCTAAAATCAACCCCAGGTCTGGATGATATGTCTCCTTTAAGGTTGTGTCCGTTTCACCGTCAGAGATGAAACTAAACTAACGTCAGCCTCAGACTCATGAATATTCGATGCAATAAGCACAGACTCATTTTAATACAGTCCAAGGATGGAATAAAGTCTCAATCACTCGTCCATCTGTCGTGTTATTTATGCAGCATTTAGACGGAAAGTGCTGAGGCGGCGGAAAGTGACAGCAGCGAGGAGCAGCGAGCAGTCAATTTGACGGCTTTAAGTTCTGGAAGCATAGATACTAAACGTTTGTACGTTCATGGAAACTTGTGACTTTGATCATTTTGACTTTTTTGCTCCTGTTTGTAGTTCATGTATTAGTTTTGATGAGACTCTCGTTCATATTTTAAGTCCTACCTTTCCCTCCTCTCATTAGAATATTTCCGTTGCCTTGGTAACCAACTTTGGATGCCAGTCTAAGCCTTTTTGAAAACGCTGGTCCTGGACTAATTAAAGCAAGTAGAAGGGAAACAACCTCATTAATGACTTAAAACTAAACTTTTTTTGGGGGGATTTCTCAGAATTTCTCTGGTTTAAATGGGAGCAGTGAAAATGACAATTAGATCATTTAAGATAGACTTTATTGATCTCAGGATGGAGGAATGTACACGGCACATTTGGCACAGATAGTTCCAGAATCTTCAGAGTTCTGGGAGAGTCAGTGACGAGGGTTTAATGCACTGTCGGCTCTCTAAGGATCAAAGTACTTGGATACATCTATTCTGAAAATACACATGAGTGTCCTGGAGTCAAAATGATGTCACAGGATGAATTCTGACCACAATAAGAACCCATACATCGGTCTAAAGGCCGCAGGGTTTACAGAGCGTGACTAAAGGAGAGGCTTCTTGTGTGCGTCATGTTGGATTGTGTAAATGTGTGTATTCTCCTGTATTTCTGAAGTATTAATAAAGTTGAGCTGTAGCAGGAGAAGAGTTGTGGCATCGTAAATACAGCAAAATACTGAACAAAAAGCAGGAAACTAAAAATCCATCTCCGTTGCATCTGTTCGTTCGTAAACACAGATCTATAACTTTCAAGTGGAAATACTTAAAGGGTCAGACTGAAAACTGCATGAACCTCTACACGCTGAAGAAGTCTGGGGCAAGATGTAAGATGCAAGACGCAGATGGAAATTATGTGTATTGTTCCCCCTTTATCAAATAAATAAATAAATAAAATGTAACAGATGAAGTGGGTTTTATGTTCACAACTCTCTCTGTCATAGCCTGGTCTTACCGTACCATTGTACTCATTTCATTTCATACTAAGGTCTGGATTGTCTCCATTGTCTCCGTGAACAGGTGGGAGGGGCTTCTGCTTTTGCAGATTGAAACCATTGGATCTGAGTTTACTGTGACCGAGTGAGTGAGGCATTTAACATTTAGCCTAGCTTTAGCTATCTCCTTTAGCTTTTTCATTAGTGTGTCCACAGCGTGTCTCCTGTGTGTCTTCTGCATGTCTCCTGCGTGTCCACAGCGTGTCTCCTGCATGTCTCCTGTGTGTCTCCTGCATGTCTCCTGCGTGTCCACAGCGTGTCTCCTGCGTGTCTCCTGCATGTCTCCTGCGTGTCTCCTGCGTGTCCACAGCGTGTCTCCTGCATGTCTCCTGCGTGTCTCCTGCGTGTCCACAGCGTGTCTCCTGCATGTCTCCTGCGTGTCCACAGCGTGTCTCCTGCATGTCTCCTGCGTGTCTCCTGCGTGTCCACAGCGTGTCTCCTGCATGTCTCCTGCGTGTCTCCTGCGTGTCTCCTGCGTGTCTCCTACATGTCTCCTGCGTGTCCACAGCGTGTCTCCTGCGTGTTTCCTGCGTGTCTCCTGCGTGTCTCTTGCGTGTCTCTTGCGTGTCTCCTGCGTGTCTCCTGCGTGTCTCCTGTATGTCCACAGCGTGTCTCCTGCGTGTCTCCTGCGTGTCTCTTGCGTGTCTCCTGCGTGTCTCCTGTATGTCCACAGCGTGTCTCCTGCGTTTTCCTGCGTGTCTCCTGCGTGTCTCTTGCGTGTCTCCTGCGTGTCTCCTGCGTGTCTCCTGCGTGTCTCCTGTATGTCCACAGCGTGTCTCCTGCGTTTTCCTGCGTGTCTCCTGCGTGTCTCTTGCGTGTCTCTTGCGTGTCTCCTGCGTGTCTCCTGCGTGTCTCCTGTATGTCCACAGCGTGTCTCCTGCGTATCCACATTAGTTTCTCTTTGGACTCAGTTGTTTACTTTGCTCGTCTGCTTTTCTCCGGCTGCAGCTTCAATAAACACTTGTGAATGATTAATAATGAGCCGTAGCAGCAGCGTCGCCGCGGGTATCGCCCTAAACTCTAAACTCGAAACTCTAAAGCTCTAATCCGTGTCTCATTTCTACTCTGGCCCCATAAGATCCAGAATCTAAATTTAATGCTGTGGTTGTGGCAAAAAGCACTTAAGTGACCTCCCACATCAAAGATTCATGCGGATGATTGTGCTCCGTCTGTGTGAGGGAGACGCAATCACGGTTTAGTACCTTTGTTCAAAATATAAACAAGACATTGAGGAGCACAGGGACTGGCCTCCTGCTGGGACTCTGAGGAGCACAGGGACTGGCCTCCTGCTGGGACTCTGAGGAGCACAGGGACTGGCCCCCTGCTGGGACTCTGAGGAGCACAGGGACTGGACTCCTGCTGGGACTCTGAGGAGCACAGGGACTGGCCTCCTGTTGGGACTCTGAGGAGCACAGGGACTGGCCTCCTGTTGGGACTCTGAGGAGCACAGGGACTGGCCTCCTGCTGGGACTCTGAGGAGCACAGGGACTGGCCTCCTGCTGGGACTCTGAGGAGCACAGGGACTGGCCTCCTGCTGGGACTCTGAGGAGCACAGGGACTGGGACTGTTTAGCTGTGGATAAATCTGAGGGATTGTCATGAAATGAAGGAAGACCCAAAATGCAAGAAAGCAACAAAAAAAAAAGATTGAAAGATGATAAATGATAATAATATTATAATAATTATAATAATAATAATAAGTCCAGGGAAAATCAAACTAAAAAAATCACCGTAACCAGGACATTGACAGACAGCGACAATGAACCAGCAACAAATAAAGGAAACGGTCAAAAACCATAAAAACCTTTTGTGGCTGGTCCAGTGTCGTTGTCGATGTCAGTCCTGTCCCTGGCTCTTTTTGGATTCTTGAGCTTGTTTTTCCGCTGGACTTTAATTCATCACCATTAAATAATAATTTCTGGGTCCTCTTTCATCTCTCCACATGACTGTGTCTTTACTCTGTTCAATGTTCTGTGATTATTTCTGTCTTGTTTTGGTGAGAGACCGCGGAGACCCCACTTGCTCGACCTGAAACAGCAGATATCCAACTACAGTTTACATAATACTTGTGGGAAACGCCTCATTAGCCTATAATACACACGTCCTAGATTAGGTCTGCATGGTATTTACATGTTGCCGTGGAGATGGGATGAGAGGGAAGTGGAGCAGCATTTGGAATAACAATCTGTCGAAAGGAGGAGAATCCAGTCCTCAAAGGGCGGCTGTGGCTGCAGGACTGAAGAAGTGGGTGGAGTCTGGTGTTGCTCCTGCTTGGTTGGATTGAAGTCCTGCAGCCACACTGACAGCTCTGACGTAGAATACGACTAAAACAACAGTAGACAGAAGAAATAGCTCCGTAGACTCACACAGGAGCGAGGAGTGTGTTCGTAGTAGAACCTGTTTCTAACAAACTTCGACCAATCACACGCGATCTTCTCTCAGTACCTCAGTACCTCAGTACCTCAGTGCCTCAGTACCTCAGTGTCTCAGTGTCTCAGTACCTCAGTGTCTCAGTACCTCAGTGTCTCAGTACCTCAGTGTCTCAGTACCTCAGTACCTCAGTACCTCAGTACCTCAGTGTCTCAGTACCTCAGTGTCTCAGTACCTCAGTACCTCAGTGTCTCAGTACTTCAGTACCTCAGTGTCTCAGTACCTCAGTACCTCAGTGTCTCAGTACCTCAGTACCTCAGTGTCTCAGTACCTCAGTACCTCAGTGTCTCAGTACCTCAGTGTCTCAGTACCTCAGTACCTCAGTGTCTCAGTACCTCAGTACCTCAGTACCTCAGTGTCTCAGTACCTCAGTACCTCAGCACCTCAGTGTCTCAGTACCTCAGTACCTCAGTGTCTCAGTACCTCAGTGTCTCAGTACCTCAGTACCTCAGTGTCTCAGTACCTCAGTGTCTCAGTACCTCAGTACCTCAGTGTCTCAGTACCTCAGTGTCTCAGTACCTCAGTGTCTCAGTACCTCAGTGTCTCAGTACCTCAGTACCTCAGTGTCTCAGTACCTCAGTACCTCAGTGTCTCAGTACCTCAGTGTCTCAGTACCTCAGTACCTCAGTGTCTCAGTACCTCAGTGTCTCAGTACCTCAGTACCTCAGTGTCTCAGTACCTCAGTACCTCAGTGTCTCAGTACCTCAGTACCTCAGTGTCTCAGTACCTCAGTGTCTCAGTACCTCAGTACCTCAGTGTCTCAGTACCTCAGTGTCTCAGTACCTCAGTGTCTCAGTACTTCAGTACCTCAGTACCTCAGTGTCTCAGTACCTCAGTACCTCAGTGTCTCAGTACCTCAGTGTCTCAGTGTCTCAGTACCTCAGTGTCTCAGTACCTCAGTACCTCAGTGTCTCAGTACCTCAGTGTCTCAGTGTCTCAGTACCTCAGTGTCTCAGTACCTCAGTGTCTCAGTACCTCAGTGCCTCAGTGTCTCAGTACCTCAGTGTCTCAGTACCTCAGTGTCTCAGTACCTCAGTGTCTCAGTACCTCAGTGTCTCAGTACCTCAGTGTCTCAGTACCTCAGTACCTCAGTGTCTCAGTACCTCAGTGTCTCAGTACCTCAGTGTCTCAGTACCTCAGTGTCTCAGTACCTCAGTGTCTCAGTACCTCAGTACCTTAGTGTCTCAGTACCTCAGTACCTCAGTGTCTCAGTGTCTCAGTACCTGTGCCTCAGTGTCTCAGTACCTCAGTACCTCAGTGTCTCAGTACCTCAGTACCTCAGTGTCTCAGTACCTCAGTGCCTCAGTGTCTCAGTACCTCAGTGTCTCAGTACCTCAGTACCTCAGTGTCTCAGTACCTCAGTACCTCAGTGTCTCAGTACCTCAGTGCCTCAGTACCTCAGTACCTCAGTGTCTCAGTGCCTCAGTGTCTCAGTACCTCAGTACCTCAGTGTCTCAGTACCTCAGTACCTCAGTGTCTCAGTACTTCAGTACCTCAGTACCTCAGTGTCTCAGTACCTCAGTGTCTCAGTACCTCAGTACCTCAGTGTCTCAGTACCTCAGTGTCTCAGTACCTCAGTACCTCAATACCTCATTGTCTCATTACCTCAGTACCTCAGTACCTCAGTGTCTCAGTACCTCAGTACCTCAGTGTCTCAGTACCTCAGTGTCTCAGTACCTCAGTGTCTCAGTACCTCAGTGTCTCAGTGTCTCAGTGTCTCAGTACCTCAGTACCTCAGTGTCTCAGTGTCTCAGTACCTCAGTATCTCAGTGTCTCAGTACCTCAGTACCTCAGTGTCTCAGTACTTCAGTACCTTTGTGTCTCAGTACTTCAGTGCCTCAGTACCTCAGTACCTCAGTGTCTCAGTACTTCAGTACCTCAGTGTCTCAGTACTTCAGTACCTCAGTGTCTCAGTACTTCAGTGCCTCAGTACCTCAGTGTCTCAGTACCTCAGTACCTCAGTACCTCAGTGTCTCAGTGTCTCAGTGTCTCAGTACTTCAGTACCTCAGTGTCTCAGTACTTCAGTACCTCAGTACCTCAGTGTCTCAGTACTTCAGTACCTCAGTGTCTCAGTACCTCAGTACCTCAGTGTCTCAGTACTTCAGTACCTCAGTGTCTCAGTACCTCAGTACCTCAGTGTCTCAGTACCTCAGTACCTCAGTGTCTCAGTACCTCAGTGTCTCAGTACCTCAGTGTCTCAGTGTCTCAGTACTTCAGTACCTCAGTGTCTCAGTACTTCAGTACCTCAGTACCTCAGTGTCTCAGTACCTCAGTACCTCAGTACCTCAGTGTCTCAGTACTTCAGTACCTCAGTACCTCAGTGCCTCAGTACCTCAGTACCTCAGTGCCTCAGTACCTCAGTACCTCAGTACCTCAGTGTATCAGTACTTCAGTACCTCAGTGTCTCAGTACCTCAGTGCCTCAGTACCTCAGTACCTCAGTACCTCAGTGTCTCAGTACTTCAGTACCTCAGTACCTCAGTACCTCAGTCGTTTGTGCAGATCGCTCTCTCCTCAGGTCCCTCCTGGTGGTATATTATCATAATTACACAACAAATTACAATCAATAAATCAGGATAAATTATCTGTCTCATTCCATCTCAGTTCATCTCTGTTGCCTTCGAGTCGTGAAGACACATTAGCGAGAGAGAAATGAGGTGTTAATAATAGTATAATAATAGTATAATTTTCATAATAATTGGACGAGGGATCACAGACGACACTTTTATTAGTCTCTGTTTGTGGTTCAACTGAAGAATGTGACGTGACTTTTATGGAGACGGTTCACACTGATGGGAACGATACAAACGACTGGGGCTCGGAGGAGCTCAGAGCGAGGTGTGTGGTCAGAGTGTGTTTGGGCCTGTGTTGTGTTGTGTTCATTGTGTGATATTGTGTTGGTTTGTGTAGAGCGTTGGAGCACTCTTGGCCTGTTCTTGTTAAACTTTAAAATCAGACGCAGCTGGACTTAAAGCTGAAGTTTGTGTTTGATGTGATTTTCTGAATTGGAAAAACAGAAGATCAAATAAAAACATAAATAAAAAACAATTCAGTCGTTTGTTTAGTCTGACTCAGGGCAGATGTGGCAGCAGGATGTGTAGTCTGACTCAGGGCAGATGTGGCAGCAGGATGTGTAGTCTGACTCAGGGCAGATGTGGCAGCAGGATGTGTAGTCTGACTCAGGGCAGATGTGGCAGCAGGATGTGTAGTCTGACTCAGGGCAGATGTGGCAGCAGGAGCATCTCTGTGGAGTCAGAGACAAAGTGACTCTGGTCTGTTCAAGGCGCTACATAAATAAACATGACTTATTGAAGTAGTTCTTCTCCAGTCGCTGTTTCTCTGCAACTGATCATGAGGAGGCTCCAGGACACTCATAGTTTGAACTGATTAATTTTCTAATCTGTGTTGACGACTCGATAACTTTGTAGTTTGTAAAGTCCTCTGAGAAAGCTACTGTTGTGATTTAGGACGATACCAAAACACATTCAAGAGAATTTGATAATTAAGAAACTGTGAAATCAGATGTGGTTGATTCCTGGTGTCTGTATTGTAATATTGTTGCGCCCCCTGCAGGTCAAAGCCAGATACTGTCAGACCTCTGAAGCTAAACAGGCCCCAGGGCAGCTGTGGCTACAGTAGTATATCACGGCAGAGCATCGGGCCTGGATGGTTCAGATGCAGATGAGGTTGTGTTCCTTTATCAGCGACTCACAAGGTCTGGGTTCTATCCTCATCCAGCCTTTATTTATCCCTAAAGTGACGTCTAGTTTTCATCTGTCTCGTTATGAAGAATAAAAGCAACATTACAGAGACACGTCTTCATAAAACAGGCGCAGCGTCTGGAGAACACAGGTGCTGTTTTTTTACAAAGAAGATAAAACTGAATAAGACTCGAACACAGAAAACACTTCATTCATTACAGAACCAGAACCAGAACCAGAATCCTTTTATTGCCACGTGAGAAACAGGAAGTCACAAACTAGGAAATAACTTTGGCTCTCGGTGCAATTACACGCTCTTTAGTACAACTGTGAGGCTCTTGGGTTTGAGTCCCAGGATCTTCATGTTGCATAGGTTTCCTTCAGGTGCTCCGGGTTTCCTCCAGGTGCTCTGCCTTTGCTCTTCCTCAGCTCCCAGAAACCCTTGCAGTTTGTTGCTTGGGTTGTTCTGAGTAAACTTTCTGATGGAGCCTGAAGCCGGAGTCGAGGGAAAGCGAGCGGCGAGGGACTGCGGCTCATGTTGTGTGTGAAATGGTGGTCGTCTAAATTTTAATCAACGTGGAGCTGACACGCAGAGAATTAAAACATTTCATTAAGTTGGAAATGGTTCCCTGAAGGTTGAGCGTCTGTGGTTTATCACACGCTGGTGCGAGAGGCGGAAGAGTTTACAAACTGCAAAGGATTCTTCACATGGTTTGAGTTTAAAGTGTGATTCTGCAATAGCAAAATATCTACCATAATATCTACCATAATGTCTACCATCATATCTACCATAATATCTACCACAATATCTACCATAATGTCTACCATAATGTCTACCATAATATCTACCATAATATCTACCATCATATCTACCATAATATCTACCATAATGTCTACCATAATATCTACCATAATGTCTACCATAATGTCTACCATAATGTCTACCATAATGTCTACCATAATATCTACCATAATATCTACCACAATATCTACCATAATGTCTACCATAATGTCTACCATAATATCTACCATAATATCTACCACAATATCTACCATAATGTCTACCATAATGTCTACCATAATATCTACCATAATATCTACCACAATATCTACCATAATGTCTACCATAATGTCTACCATAATATCTACCATAATATCTACCATCATATCTACCATAATATCTACCATAATGTCTACCATAATATCTACCATAATGTCTACCATAATGTCTACCATAATGTCTACCATAATGTCTACCATAATATCTACCATAATATCTACCACAATATCTACCATAATGTCTACCATAATGTCTACCATAATATCTACCATAATATCTACCACAATATCTACCATAATGTCTACCATAATGTCTACCATAATATCTACCATAATATCTACCACAATATCTACCATAATGTCTACCATAATGTCTACCATAATGTCTACCATAATATCTACCATAATGTCTACCATAATGTCTACCATAATATCTACCATAATGTCTACCATAATGTCTACCATAATGTCTACCATAATATCTACCATAATATCTACCACAATATCTACCATAATGTCTACCATAATGTCTACCATAATGTCTACCATAATGTCTACCATAATATCTACCATAATATCTACCACAATATCTACCATAATGTCTACCATAATGTCTACCATAATGTCTACCATAATGTCTACCATCATATCTACCATAATATCTACCACAATATCTACCATAATGTCTACCATAATGTCTACCATAATGTCTACCATAATATCTACCATAATGTCTACCATAATATCTACCACAATATCTACCACAATATCTACCACAATATCTACCACAATATCTACCACAATATCTACCACAATATCTACCACAATATCTACCATAAAATCTACCACAATATCTACCATAATATCTACCATAATATCTACCACATTATCTACCACAATATCTACCATAATATCTACCATAATATCTACCATAATGTCTACCATAATGTCTACCATAATATCTACCATCATATCTACCATCATATCTACCATAATATCTACCACAATATCTACCACAATATCTACCACAATATCTACCACAATATCTACCACAATATCTACCATAATGTCTACCATAATGTCTACCATAATATCTACCATAATGTCTACCATAATATCTACCATAATGTCTACCATAATGTCTACCATAATGTCTACCATAATGTCTACCATAATATCTACCATAATATCTACCACAATATCTACCATAAAGTCTACCATAATGTCTACCATAATATCTACCATAATATCTACCACAATATCTACCATAATGTCTACCATAATGTCTACCATAATATCTACCATAATATCTACCACAATATCTACCATAATGTCTACCATAATGTCTACCATAATGTCTACCATAATATCTACCATAATGTCTACCATAATGTCTACCATAATATCTACCATAATGTCTACCATAATGTCTACCATAATGTCTACCATAATGTCTACCATAATATCTACCATAATATCTACCACAATATCTACCATAATGTCTACCATAATGTCTACCATAATATCTACCATAATATCTACCACAATATCTACCATAATGTCTACCATAATGTCTACCATAATGTCTACCATAATGTCTACCATAATATCTACCATAATATCTACCACAATATCTACCATAATGTCTACCATAATGTCTACCATAATGTCTACCATAATGTCTACCATCATATCTACCATAATATCTACCACAATATCTACCATAATGTCTACCATAATGTCTACCATAATGTCTACCATAATATCTACCATAATGTCTACCATAATATCTACCACAATATCTACCACAATATCTACCACAATATCTACCACAATATCTACCACAATATCTACCACAATATCTACCACAATATCTACCATAAAATCTACCACAATATCTACCATAATATCTACCATAATATCTACCACATTATCTACCACAATATCTACCATAATATCTACCATAATATCTACCATAATGTCTACCATAATGTCTACCATAATATCTACCATCATATCTACCATCATATCTACCATAATATCTACCACAATATCTACCACAATATCTACCACAATATCTACCACAATATCTACCACAATATCTACCATAATGTCTACCATAATGTCTACCATAATGTCTACCATAATGTCTACCATCATATCTACCATAATATCTACCACAATATCTACCACTATATCTATCATAATATCTACCATCATATCTACCATCATATCTACCATATTATTATATGACTTGGACCGTACGCGCGCTCTGATTGGCTGATTACCGGTCTGATATTTTCCCATCTTGGACCGTTACCATGACAATCGGTCCACAGCGCGTATCACACAAAACCAAGTCGGACATGAACATACTTCACAAATATCTCAAAAGCATTGGACACAGACGAGAGTCATATAAAAAACATTCATTAACCTCGGTCTGTGCATTAAGGCTCGGTCTGTGCATTAAGGCTCAGTCTGTACATTAAGGCTCGGTCTGTGCATTAAGGCTCGGTCTGTACATTAAGGCTTGGTCTGAGCATTAAGGCTCGGTCTGAGCATTAAGGCTCGGTCTGTGCATTAAGGCTCGGTCTGTACATTAAGGCTCGGTCTGTACATTAAGGCTCGGTCTGTACATTAAGGCTCGGTCTGTGCATTAAGGCTCGGTCTGTGCATTAAGGCTCGGTCTGTACATTAAGGCTCGGTCTGTGCATTAAGGCTCGGTCTGTACATTAAGACTCGGTCTGTGCATTAAGGCTCGGTCTGTACATTAAGGCTCGGT